CACAGAGAAGAAAATGATACTCACGATGAATCGTGGTGGTGATGGATATGGTGAGGCAATATGACGAGAATGGGGATGATGATGACGATGAAAATGCTGCTGCTGATGATGACTATGATGGGCACGATGCACGATGATGATGCTGATCATCCGGATGGTGGTGTTGCTGACGATGGTGACAACAGTGATGATGATAACGATGCTGGTGTCGGTGATGATGACGATGTGACGATGGTCGTGGCGGAACAGATTCTGATGATGTTTTGTGCGAGGCGCTGGTTTCATCACTCCCAAAGGGGAGCCGCCAGGGAGTATTGCACTCCTCCTTTCGCGCAAGATTGGCGGGGATGTCTCAAGCGGTTTGCCTTCCTCCGCTGTCGAAGCAGATTCTGAGGATGTCTCGAGCGAGGCGCTGGTTCTCGCCCCCAAGAGTGGGCCGCCAGGGAGTATTGCACTTTTCCGTTCGCGCATAGATTGCGGGTATGTCTCGAGCGCTTTGCCTGTTAGAGTTCCCCACATCCTCTGCTTTCGGAACAGATTCTGATGATGTCTCGGGCGAGGCGCTGGCTTTCGCACACCAGGGAGCCCAAATTGCGGTGATGTCTTGGCTGGTTTGCTTGTTTTGCTAGACAGGGCCGTCTGCGTTCACAGCAGATTCTGAAGATGTCTCGGGCGAGGCGCTGGCTTCCGCACGCCACGGGGCCCATATTGTGAGGATGTCCTCGTGCTCACTCGTACTCAGACTCGTTCTCATCGTACTCATACTCAGACTCACTCACCCCAATCTTGCGCACACTCAGAGCCACTCCGCTTAGACCCACCCACCCTCATAGTCACTTGTAGTTAAAACTGATTCGTACCCAGGCCAACTCATATTCAGTTCCATATTCATCACACTCATACTCAGGCGCACTCGCACTCAGACTTACTCACACTCAGCACTCGTAATCGGACCCATCCACCCTCAGATTCACTCGTAGCCAGACTCAGTCTTCCTCAGACCCAGTCAGACTCAGACTCGTACTCGTTATACTCATAATTACACTCACCCGCACCCAAACATACCCACATTCAGACTCCCTCTCACTCGGACTCGCTCGTACTCAGACTTACGCATTCTCAAACCCACTCGTACTCATATTCTTTCATACGTAGACTCGCTGACACTCACTGTCAACCGTGCCTGGGTTCATTCACATTCAGACTCAATCGCCAATCACACACTCAGACCACTGGTGCTCAGATTCACCCAATCTTCTCCCTTTGGTGGTCCAATGCCCCCACGCTCTTCCATTTGTGCTTCTCTCATCTTCCCTGGAAGATGCCCACTGAAAAAACTGGAGTCGTCGCTGTCGCCGTCGTCGTTGTCGCGCCTGTCGTCCACGCCGACTCGCTCTCACACCCAGATGCTCGCAGACAGTGCTCTTCAGCGAGAAGCGACAGGAGTATGAGATGCACATCTGGGGAGCTCCACGCAGTGAACCATCTTAATGTTAATTCGGCATTTCGAACCAGGAATTATTCCCCGTATTGTGCGCATGCGCGCAGGATCTGGGCGAGTGCGCACCAGCATACCAGTCGGACACTACCTAGCACGTTCAGTGGTGCATTTCTTCTAGCTTGTAGCTCCGATGCGCTGTGCTGGCTGTGCTGTGCGAGGCGAGTTAAGTCCTCTCCTGCGCACAAGACTGCCGATGCTGCGCCGTTCCGAAAACTATCCCTACTCTGCCGGTGGCGCGTCGAGCACCCATCGCGACCCGCGCAAGCGCGCGAGCGCCAAGGGTGGGACGGGTCGAGTACGCCTGGGGGTGCCAGGCCTAGAGGGTTGGGGCGCAGAGCGCTCGGGAGGCGCGCCACTGTCTCTTTCCATCTGCAGCGTCCGCTGGGGATCCACCGGCCGCCCCGGGCGACGCGCCGACACCTCCAAGACTGCACCGAGGGCCACAACTGAAGGGGCCCCAGGACACACAAATGAATACACACAAATAAAAATATTCCCCATATTTTCCCATATTTGCTGGGTTTCTGTCTTCCCCCCACTTCCCATATTTTCCTATATTTTCTGAGGAATCGAAGGTTAATTGTGTCTGTGTTTTTTTCCTCTCCTGAACAACACCGGGTCGGGGCCCCGGCCCAGGAACACGCTCCTGGATGGAGGCCCCGGGGCAGGCGGCGGTGAACTGGGGCGGTGCAGACCCAGACTCCAGCCGCCATCCTTGTTTTCACAGCGCCGACCCCCAGATGTATCGACTCTTTCCCCGGGACAGGTTTTTCACCCTGGGGTATCTTTTCACCGATCCCCATCCCCAGCGGCGTGGCCTGGGCCCCACTGGCCGATCTACACCCCGAGATGGGGATATAGGCCGCATCCTTCGGGCTTCGACGGGTGTATCCCCAACTGGGGGGGGAATTTGGTGGGGGTCTCGAAGGGGATGGGGATGGGGATGGGGACTGCTGAAGCGATGCTGAATCCTGGGCCGTTTTTTGGCGGTCCCGGGGCCCGGCGAGTGCCCCTGGAGGCCGACAGTGGCGAAACACACGTCGTCGCGATGTCTGCGCAACGCGAGGGGGGGGGGGGGCCCGTTTGGCCGGGAGACCCGTGCAGTGAGCTCGCGCACTCCTGCACGTCCGCGGGCCGCTGCGGAGGCGGGCCAGCGGCGAGGGGGCGCCCTCTGCGGGCGGGGCCTCTCGGGGGCCGAGGGGGGAAGCGCGCGCCCTGCAGGGCTCTGCCTTGGCCGCTGGCTCTCCGACGCCTCTCGGCGGCGAGCGACGCGGGCCCCGGGTCGGAGTGCCACGTGGGACCCGCTCTGGGCGAGGAGCATACCGTAGACCGTGTGGTGCCACGTGGTGCCACGTGGTGCCATGTTGGACACCACGTTGGGATCCAGGTCTGGGGGGACGAAGAATGGCATACAACTTATGCCTCTCTTCGTTCCTCTATGTAGTGCCATGTGGTACCATGTTGGAGCCAGGTGGTACCAGGAACATACCGTAGACGGATCTGCCCTTTCCCCGACCTTGCACCGCGCCGAGCGCAACGGCAACGCTGTCCATGGACACATCCACCCCGAGAGTGTCTGTGGACGTCACGGCACCCAATGTGTCCATAGACGCTTTTGGCTAGGACGTGAGAACGACATTTGGCATCGACCCCAGATGTTGGACTTCTAGAAGCAGGTCGGTTTGGCCCTCCAATGGAGCGGGCCCCTGGGGAGACGGGTTCTGATCACGGGGGGGCCATCCCGAGGATGAACTCATGAGTAAATTTAGGTCGGGCATGTCCTCCTACTGGCGGGGTTCGAAAGATTAGTCGAATTGTATTAAAAATATCTAAATACAGTCAAACATAAAAGCATCGTCTCTATTTTTGGTGGCAATCTTTAAATATTCCTCCTGTAGAGGGACATGCCCGACCCAGATTAATTTCTTACGGCCCCCCGGAGCAGGCCTGGGGAACCCGACAGGAGGACCTCCAGGTCCTGCTCTCGCCATCGCTCGGACGTCCCTTTTCTGTGTTTTTTTTTCATCTGGAGCGTGTACTTGTTCGCAAGGTAAGCCAAGATTACAAGCCTCCCAGAGGGGGTCGGAGTAGATGGGGTCGGAGGATCACGCCGCATCGCCGATGTATCGGCGATGCACTGGCGATGCACTGGCGACGTCGGCGGTTTATCGGTGCCGCCGGCATGGAGGAAATCGGCTCCTCATCGAGCCGCATCGCCGATGCGTCTGCGATGCGGGGCGACCCTCCGACCCCATCTGCTCGGACCCCACCTGGGATGCCTAGAAAGATGCTCCTCGCCGAAGGTATAGGAAGAACAGAGACACAGAAACATAAACTTTCGACGGTCCGCGCGGATTTCTTGGATCTGCGCTGGGCCCCCCTCCCTGGCGCGCGGAGCGCGCCAAGCGCGCCGCCGGAGCCGCCGCCAGGGGGGCCTGGCGCGGATCCTCTTCTTCGAAGAGAAAAATGCACACGCCCGAGCGATGCCAAGTATTTTTAAGTCGGGCGTGTCCCTCTACAGGCGGATTTTGAGCGAAAAGTTTAAAACTACAGAAAAACCAAAGTGGACAATAAAATGACCAAACAATCATCCCGTGACTATTTTTTGGCTATTCTTGAGCATTCCTCCTGTAGAGGGACATTCCCGATTTAAGCTAAATATTTCCCCGCAGACATTTCTGTCGTGGCGCCCTCCGTGGCGTGCGCCAGGCCCCGGGGAGCGGCGTCCTCCGCGCTCTGTCTCGCTCGGCACCCTCCCTCTCGCAGTCCTGGCCATCGCTCGGACGTCCACTCCTTTGGATGTCGTGCGTGTTTTTTCCCGTCGCCAGAAGATCCAGGACCTCCTCGATGGTCCTCGCCAGAAAAAATACATAGGGGAACGAATAATGACATAAACACAAAAACTCGGAGGTCCGCGCGAATCCCTGGCGCTCTCCGCGCGCCAGGGAGGGGGGTCCAGCGCCGATCCGAGAAATCCGCGCGGAGCTCCGATTATTTTTTGTTTCTGTCATTCTTCGTTCCCCTAAAAAACACACGTCCGAGCGATGCGGAGTCTCTCTAATCGGCTGTGGGCCGAGTGCCTCGAGCAAGCGCGCCTGTCTCGACATGCTGTGCCATAGGGGGGCAGCCTGTGCACTGTTCCGCCGGATCCCCTTTCTTTTCACGACTCGGCTCTGCCTCTTAAGCACCCCTGCCATATCCTCCTGTCTTGAATTTCCACCTGAACCCCAACCATTGAGCAGGGACCGACCTCCCCAACATTCCTATAGGTCTACCACGGGATGTTCTTAGAACTCTAATCATGAAAACAATGTTCTTAGAACATGAACCCGATGTGTAAAAACAAGACAGTCCCAGCCAGAAATGTTCTAAGAACATGTCGTGCAGACCACAAACGGTTATGAGAACATTGTTTGGTGGGCCTATAGGTGAGCCAGGACGCTTCGCCACTGCTTGGAACCAACCGTTCCCCTCCTCCATCCTTTCCGCCAACGGCTGCTCAGTAGTACGCGGCAGTCTTGCGGTAGTTGGCAGCAATGGGCGCCTCGTGGAGCGATCTCGACGGACAAAGCAGACAGACTGAGACGGTTGCCGAACACATGATCACGCCTTTAAGCGGACACACGCGCGAATAAATTGTAGATATGCAGAAATGGTGCAGGTTCTGGTTTCCAGAAAGCCGACTACGATCGTGGAAACCCATCAAACCCCTAAAGTCAATATCTCTCTCGCCAACGATGCATGGAGAATGGGATCGTCCTTGCTCATAACGGTCCATCATCTTTGCTACCTGACTCGTGCCATCCTCAGCCGTCACATGTCGCGAAGTAGGGGGCCACACTGGACGTTTGTTATTGATTGTCATTACTTGATTACGGGAGAAAAAACACCTGCTCGTTCTGCGATTCATGGTATATTCTACTGCGATGCTCGGAAAAGTCTTCCCAAACATACGCGTGCTAGATTGCAATTACCACGAATCAAAGCGACGAACAACGATGACGCAGAAGCTGGACCTGCGCGCTCCAGAACGCATCGTGCAATCTGTGTTTAGCGCACATTCTGCGCGGACAGATCACATCCACATAATCAGCGCGTGCTCTGAATGCTACAAACGCCTGCATCTGCGAAGCATGGGTTTCCAACTACCCTCCGAAGCTACTGGCCCAATGTGACCGCTCAGACCCCTTCGACCGAAGGCATGATACACAGACGATCGAGCACGCATGCGGCCGCTGACCGCGATCTGATACAAGCCAGACAAGACGACCACAAGGTAGCGGATCCACAGTAACTCAAATACAAAAGCTGAACATGGGCCCTATGAACACGAGCTGCACGTGATGTCCCGCGACCCCTGCGCTCGAGTGGACCTGCCTGCTGTCGAAGATCTTCTGACCCGGGTCAATCCAGACCCGTACCAGTCAGGCCTGCAGGATCTTGCAAGCTCCTGCAAAACATCCTGCACCCAAACCCGGGTCAATGCGAAGGATCCTGCAGGATCCTGCACCCAAACCTGGGCCAATGCGACCCTGGCCCTGTAAGATCCTGCAAGATCGGGCGCTCTGGCTGACCCCCGTTTACATTGACCCCCGTCTCTTGAGTCCCGATGCCGGTCCCTGTCCACCCACAAGGCCGGCTGCGCCTGGCGGAGCACCTCTCCCGCCACCACCTCGCTGCAGATGATAATGTGATCGCTGGCATCCATGCGCGAGCTCACCTTCGGAGGAGCGGGCGCTCTTGACTGTGAAGAGGAGTAATGATGAGAAGAATGCGGGGACATAGAACACATGCGGCTGAGCATACTGCGGAGAGGGCAATGATGCGGACCCGCTGGCGGAACGATGAGGAGCATAAGGATGGAAACCAGAAGCAGGGCATAATGAGGTCGACGAGAGGGATGAGAAGGACGAGGAAGACAAGGGCGAGCAGGAGGACGAGGAGCAATAGAGAGGGGGAGGGGGGGCAACCCAGTCGCGACTGTCACCTCGCAGGTTGGGGAGCACACTGCTCAATCTCCCAAGGCCTGGCGCCTGAAACATCGATCCATGCTGGCGAATCAGAGGAGGCCGCAGCGCCGCACAACGATGTGCCATCCGCCCTTCTCCCTCCCTCCCTCCCACCCTCCCTCCTCCCTCCTCCCTCCTCCCTCCCTCCTACTCCTCCTCCTCCTCCTCCTCCTCCTCCTCCTCCTCCTCCTCCTCCTCCTCCTCCTCCTCCTCCTCCTCCTCCTCCTCCTCCTCCTCCTCCTCCTCCTCCTCCTCCTCCTCCCTCCTCTTTCCTCCCTCCTCCCCGGAATGGAGGCTCTGAGGAGGCCCCCGGAGGGGCGGCGCCAGCGCCACTCAAGGGACCCGGGGTGCCCGGCGTGTGCTTGCTGCGGTCTGGGGCCCCTGGTGTTGGGATTCGGGCAGATGGAAGATGGTGACATGAGGCAAGATAGAGGATTGGAAACTGGGCGAAAGTTGGCAAATCCGTGTCTGCTAAAACGGTCTTCCCGGAAGAAAAAAAAACTTCCGGAATCAAGCTCAGCATTCTAAATAGTAAACGGGCTGCTCCCCGGAAGAAAAAATCTGGGAGATCCGTTTTATCAGCCACGGGTTTGCCAGCCGTCGCCCGGCTTCTGAGAGGAGGCATATGGCAGGACGAGTAGAGTGGAGGAAGGCGGGAAACGGTGAATATGGAGGAGGAAGTTGGGAAGAGGGAAGGTGGAGGGAGGAGGCGGGCGTAAAAGAAAGATGGAGGAGAAGGATGGTAGAGGGAGGACAGAAGGATGCAAAGAGAAACGACGGGGAACGGGGAGGGGGATGGCGGAGGAAGGAGGGATGACGGGGGGATCACCGAGGCGGAGAGGAGGATGGACGGAGCAGGAGGGCGAATGTACGGGGTAGAGAGCAGGAGGCGAGAAAAGGAGGAGACGGGAGAAAGGAACGAACGGACGAAGGTTCACGCAATGCGTATGGAATACAATTGGTTGAGGAATACGGCGGAGACAGCATGGACATGAAGGGGTAGGATGCCTGAAAGAGAGAGGATGCGAAGTGAGAGACAAGAAAGGTCTAGAGGGACAGGAGGCACAAAGACGACCATGTTCTTTGATGAGACTCAATCGCGGGGTTCCTGGCGCACGCTGCATGGGAGTGGGCCTTCACCTGCAGGGCAGACTCGCGCGACGGCGCAGGAAGGACTGGAGGACGAGCAACAATGGGGGTTTTCACATGACCTCTCCGCCTCCTGACCTGGGCGGATCGGGATCGCCTGGGCCCGACTCGGGCCCGCATCCCTGAGGCCGCCCCCTCCTCTTCCTCCTCCTCACCTCCCCTTTTTCTCGTGGCACCTGGGCGCCCGCGGCCGTCCGCCGCCGAGCGCGAGCTCTGGCCCCGCGCTCCGCGGGCCACTGTGCCCCCCCCCCCCCGCGAGCTCCCAAAGCGCCTCTCGCTGCGGGCCGCGGGGCTCCCCTCCGGAGGCCCCCGCCCATGCCGGAGGGGGGATGAGGAGGAGGAGGAGGAGGAGGATGAGGAGGATGAGGAGGAGGAGGAGGGCCGAGCCCTGCCACTGCCCAGCACTCCTGGCCTCTGCTGGCGCCCGGGCGGCGCCTCGCCGAGCCTCGCGAGCCTCGCCCCTGCGCCGCAGCCCGTGGCCTCTGCAGCCAGGAAGGAGCTGCCCCCTGCGCCCTGCGCCCCGAGCCCCTAGGCCCCTCGCCGCCGCCGCCAAGCACCTCCGTGCCGCGAGGCGCCGAGTGGTGTGCCTTCCCTGGATTTCCCTGCACCGGGCACCTCGTAGACGAACCTTCGGGTGATACGGAGGTTTGCGGGAAGGGGATCTGCAACCATGGAAAAACCAACGGGACAACCACAAGAGAACCTCCGAAACAACCCACGAGACAACCCGTGTGACAAGTTCCAGGGCAACCCCTGGAAATACCGCGGGACACCCCGCGCCTCACGCGAGACGGGCGCAAGCACTTTTTGCCCGACCTGGCCCCGGCCTTGGCCCCGGCCCTGGCAGACAAAGCCTCGCCCTGGCGCAGCTGCGCCTCGCCCGCACGCGCGGCACGAACCGAAACCGACTTCCCAGCTGATCGTTGAAGGAGTCGGGCGTGGCTTCATGGGGGGGTGATTCAGGGAGGGGGGGAAATGGTACCAGATTCGGGCCCTAGAGACCCCCTTCTGGGCCCTGGAAGGAGTCGGGCGTGGCTTCATGGGGGGGGTGATTCAGGGGAAGGGGAAGAATGGTACCAGATTCGGGCCCTGGAGACCCCCTTCTGGGCCCTGGAAGGCCCCTTCAGGGTCCCCAGAGGCCCCCTTCTCTGCAGCCCTCGCTGCCCCCCTCATGCATCGCCCCCCCCCCACCCCCCCGCTACAGTGGAGGCCAGTCCGCAAGAAACCTTCCACAAGAAACCCAACCCTGAGACCCCAGGACGTCCATCGATGCTTAGTGTGGGAGCGCCACGCTTTCCATGGCAAAACCATCGAAACCCAAGAAACCCGGGACACCCTGGATGCAAGCAGGGTGTTTCCTGGCATGGGCCTCCACTGCACGCGAGGCCCAGACGGAGCCTGGACCCCCACGATCAAGGCGCTCTCGGGCTCACTTGGGCGTTCCTCGCCGCCAGGGCCTTCCAGCTCAAAGTCGGTGGCGAGCGACGGGGGGAAATCAAGAGGAGGAGGAGGCGGAGGAGGAGGAGGAGGAGGAGGAGGAGGAGGAGGAGGAGGAGGAGGAGGAGGAGGAGGCCTTCTGAGAAGGCGGCGGGACTTCTCAGAAGCCTTCTGGCCTTCGGACACATTGTCTGTGTCTTCGGGGAAGGTTGGGACAACTCCTAAGAAGGGCCGGGGGACCTCCGAGCCTTCTGAGAAGGCCTTCTCCCTCTCACTTCCCCCCCCTCGCGCGCAGCCGACAACTTGTCACAAGGCCTGGGGAGCGTGGCAGCGGGCCTAAGCCTGCACCGTGCTGCAAGATGGTCCCGAGCCGACCTGGGGCCCACCGTGGCGCCGCCTGGGACGTCTGGGAGGCCCCGGAGGTCGGCACGAGGGGCGCACATAACGGAAACATGCTTCGGGTGGTGGATCGACTACAGAGTTGACTTACTCCCATATTGGAATTTCCGTCGAATGCTCCGACAAAAACCGTACGATGTTCGCAAATGTGGGAACATCGGCGTTTTTGCCCGTACATTCGACGAAACCGCAATCTTGGGGGCAAGCCAACTTTGTAGTCGATCCCTTATTCGAGTGTTAGCCCCCCGCCCAAAGAGGGCCCCGAGACAGCCAGCAAGCTCCCAAAAGGTGCCCCGAGGATCCCCCACAAAAAAGCTTGCGGGAGGCTTCCGAGGCACCGCAGGAAGCCCGAGAAGAGGTCCCATACTGGGGAGCCCACAAAGGACGTAGGTGTTCAACCAACTGCATGAACACGGCCCCTCGATCCGCGAGACCGGCCGCGTGTTACGAACATTCGCGCAGTGCGTACTCTCGACGAAACCAGTGTGGATTCGTGTGCGTGTGCGTCGTTCTTTCGCTCCCGACATGCGCCCCCGGTGAGAGGCCCCAAGGGGCATCCCAAGGGGCCTCTGGCCCACGGCCCAGTCGCGGTGGCGGCGTGGGCCGAAGGCCACCCAGGTCGGCCACACTGAGAGCGGCGTGCGAAGGAGATCGGGCGGCCGCCCTCCCTCTCTGCGCTTGCACATGCTCCTCCAACATCTTCGCTGTCCGCGCCCCCCCCGGGAACCGCGTCTGGATGGGATGCTGGGGATGCACGACGAAGCCAGGACGAGGATACCGTCGGGCACGGATATATCGAGAATCTTTGAGACCTGGCGGCGCTGGATGGTCTCTCGGGCGCCGACGCTCTGATAGGGTTCTGGAACGCGCTGGGACTGATTCGCCCCTGTCCTGGCCCCCTTCGAAGATACGGTCGGACCTGGGACAGAAAACCATCTTTCAATCACACGAGACCCTCCGCCGGCCAACACGCACAGAACATCCAAGGGTACCCTCCCCGAGGTGCACAGGAACGTCCAACACACACGAAGAACACTGGGGTAGGGCCAAGACGCTGAAATAAGAAACAGTTTGGGTTCGGCGGGGGCTCGATGTTCCTTAGGTTCCTCCAGTGCTGTTCCTCTTGCCCTCCTGGGACACGGAGGCGCTTGCAGGGCCAAGAAGAGGCTTCGTTCCTTATTCAGCGTTCCTTCTTTCAGCGGCCCGACCGCACCCTCCCCGAACCGGCCTCGATCGTACACCTCGGTCCGACTGTATGCGAGGCGTCAAGAGCTGATCCCCTGCGATGCGCAGATGCTGCCGCCAGATGGCCCTTCGCACGACAACGGGCACCCTCGGCGGCAAGCTGCTGGCCACGCTCCGGCCAGACTCCGCGCGGCTCGGGCGAACGCCCACGCAGCAGCTCCGCACGCCCGAGCCGAAAGGGCCACGGAGGAGGGCCAGGAGGCGACTGTCGGAGCCGCGCGAGCCGAGGCAACGGCAGCTCGAAACCGGTCCCTGGAACCCGCCGGGGGCCCCAGCGCGCCCGTCTTCCGAGCTGCGTCCGGGCGTGGCGACGAGGCCCCCCGCCCCCCGGAGGGCCAACTGCCGCTGCCTCCCCTCGCCCTCGGAGGGCCGAGGGCCTGAGCCCCTGCCGCTGTGCCCTTCGCTCCCGCTGCGCTGCCCGCTGTGCTGCCACGGCTCGGCCGCCTCCCGCGGCCGCCGCCGCCCGATCGTGCCTCTGGCGGCGCGCAGAGAGGGGACAGGGGGAGGGGGGCGGGCTTCCTAGAAGAAGGCTGCCGGCCCTACATCTGCAGGCAAGGCCCGCGCCTTCCAAGAAGCAGGAGCGCCTCTAAGGAGGCCCCCCCTGACCCCTTCTGCGCGTGGCCGCCTCCCGCCGCCGCCCGATCCCGCCTTGCAGGTGAGGAACGCGCAGCCGCCCTTCAATGCCGAGCCGCCCTCCACCGGGAGCGTCTCGATGCCCTCGCGGTCGCCAGCGAAGGCGCAGTATGCGGCAGGGAGCGGAGGAAGGAAGGCGCCGGTCCGCGCCCCAGCGCGGCCCAGGAAGACACCATTCCCCATCGAGAGGCCAACGCTCGGCTCTGGCCTCATCAGGCTCTCGCATTGCTCCCGAGTCTATTCGCCCGCCGAATCGGGCGACTCGAAACCGTGCAAGCGGGCAACTTCCCAGTGGCCCAGCACAGGGACCCGCACCCCGTGCTGGTGGAAGCTGGCGGAGGAGGCAGCAGGGGGCTGCAGGCAAGGGCAGCAGATGAGGACGCGAATTAGAGCAGGGCTAGAGGTAACATAAAGGGAGAGATGACACGAGTGCGACATCCTCGGGTGGCACCAGAAAATGAAGGGGCTCTGGGACACACACAAATAAATACACACAAATAAACATTTTCCCAATATTTTTCCCTATTTTCTGGGTTTCTGTCTTCCCCCCCCACTTCCTATATTTTCCAAAATTTTCTGAGGAATTGAAGATTCATTCTGTCTGTGTGTTTCTTTTCCCCCTGAAAAACCCATGAGGGGACGTCGCAGCAGTCGGCCCTGACGAGGGCGGCGACCACCGAGGGGGGTATGCGATGGACCGGCCCCGCCTGCGGGGCCCCTCCGCGCAAGGATTCCGACGGCAGCATCATGGCCCCCCAAAACCAGGACACCTGGCATTATTACAGGGCAGTTTTTAATGCATGGGATTAAAACAGATAGGACCTTTAATACATGATTGATGTATGCATGATTTTATGCATGAACTCATCCTTGTTTTTAGTACTAAATCCCGCACGCGGAGCATGTATTAAAAAACGGCACTGTAACCAGGACTTCGAAATTCCACCTGGAGAGGACGAATGATGGTGAATGCTTCGGCCTATGGCTGCAACTTCCTTGGGCGCGCCAATGTCCTGGCATATCTAGGTCAAGGTCAAAGGCGCCCTGACAGAAAACCGGATGCCGACCTCGGGACACGCAGGGACCCCCAACAGCAACGCGCTCTGGTGGAACGCAAGAAGGTTATTCCGACGGTCTGGGGCACTCCGGCGGTGCCCAGGGGTGGTCGAGACCCCAGGAGGACCCGAGATCAAAGTAGAAATTCGAATCGGTATTCGAATTGCGTCGGGTCGGCAGAAATCGGAAGGCAGATCGGAAGGCATCGAAATCGACGCCCAGCGGCCCGAGCCGAGGCCTGCACAAGGAAACCCAAACCGCAATCGGAACTCGGAGTCGCATCGGATCGAAGCCGACATCCTCGAAGCCGAACCGATGCGAATCGACGGGGTCGAAGGGTCGCCTGGACGCTGGCGGGGAGCCTCTCCACTCTGACGGCCGGCCTGGCGGCCCTGATGGCAGCAGAGATGAAGGAGCCCTGGGACACACAAATAAATACACACACGAAGAACAGGATTCCCCATCTCCTCCAACATTTTCTAGGCTTTTGTCTTCCCCCCCACTTCCCATATTTTCTGGGGAATCGCCGTTTTTTCTCTCCCTCCTGAAGAGAATCATCTCTCAGGGGAACGTAAGACCTGGGTACAGGGGACTCGGAAATCCCCGACGAGGTCGCCAAAAAAACGACGAGGCCGAGCCTGCATTTTGACGAGGCCTCCCGCTGCAGGCATCCCACGAAACTCCTCCTCGTCAAAATCCGAGGCGCGGTCGTCAAAAAACGATGGCGAACCCGAGTCCTGGCAAACCCGGGTCTTACGCTCCCCCGAATCTCGAGGGTCGGTGTCCTGGCTCTGGCGACGAGGCGGGGGCGGCGGGCCGCGCGGCCGGCAGACCCGCCGGGCGGGCCGCTTCCGAGCCTGGTGGCCTCCCTCCGCGCGGCCCCCGCGGCGCCGGAGCGGCCACGCCCTGGCAAGAAGCCGGCAAGGACGGTGGCGATCAGGAGGAGGAGGCGGAGGAGGAGGCAGAGGAGGAGGCGGAGGAGGAGGCAGAGGAGGAGGAGGAGGAAGAGGAGGAGGAAGAGGAGGAGGAGGAGGAGGAGGAGGAGGAGGATGAGGAGGAGGAGGAGGAGGGAGGAGGAGGAGGAGGAGGAGGAGGAGCCGATGGCGATCAGGAGGAGGAGGCGGAGGAGGAGGCAGGGCCTCCACGAGAGGGGGCCGCGTGCCTCGAGGACGTTGGCGCCGGGGGCGAAGGACTGCTGGAAGTGCTTCAGCAGCGGCAGGTAGTTCCCCTCTTCGAGCATGTTCACCACGAACGTGTCTCCCACCTGGCTCTCCTCCTCCTCCTCTTCCTCCTCCAGGGGGCACGCCCCTTGCATGTTGTTGTTGCCAGGGGCAGTCCCGAGAAGACGGGGGACGCTGCCCAACGGCTAGGTCTCGAGAGGTGCTGCAGCAAAGTAGCACAGCAACCCTGGTCGTCTTCAGCGGGCCGAGTGGCAACCAACAACCCGATCGACAATTCACACCAAATCTGAACCGTCCCATCGCACGGGGGGCACACTCGTATGGAACACACGCTAATGCCCATAGCCATCACCTCAAACAATACAGTCTACTCGCTCGTTCATGCTTGCAGTGCTGTCGAACGAGTATATACCGCGTAAGACTCCATCGTGCTTTCTTTTCGCCAGCCGCTGTGCAACGCCGACTCGATACAACATGGTTAGCAAGAGCGCGACGACATTGGAACATATTGCCAGAGTATGGTTTTTGAACGTTTTTGGCGGCGCGCAGAAGGGGGTGGAGAGAGAGGGGAGATAATGCTTTTTTAGAAGGAGGCTGTTTCTTTGAAGGCGGCGGTTAACATCTATGGACAAGGCCCGCGCCGTCTGAGCAGCAGGGGTGCTTGTAGAAAATCCTCCCCCCTCCCCCCACCCCCTCTGCGCGTGGCCGAACACTACAAAAGGGGCGCCTTTCCTTCTGCTTCCCTGTCCTCCTCTTTGGACGCCCGAAATGGATACGGAAAAATGGGCACAATGCCCAACGACAAATCTTGTCCCAAACCAACACCACTGTCTCAAATGGACACAGGCCGCGGCGGCGCGGACGGCGAGTCATGTTCAAAATGAACAGGAACTGCTGTTGGGCATTGTGCCCATTCTTTCCGTACCCATTTCGTTCGTGCCAATCCTCCGCGGACTCACTGCGCTGCTCCTGTGCACTCTACCCCCCCGCCCCCTCGGCCCGCACTCCGGCCCCCGAGGAGCCCCGCGCCGGCCTCCTCCGAGGCGCAAGGCCGCCACGTGGCCCACGGCCACTGCCAGATTACCGCAGGGGCCCGACCACAAGAAATCCTCCACAAGAAGCCTCCTCCTCCTCCTCCTCGTCATCTGCTCGTGCTCGTGCTCGTGCTCGTGCTCGTGCTCGTGCTCGTGCTCGTGCTCGTGCTCGTGCTCGTGCTCGTGCTCGTGCTCGTGCTCGTGCTCGTGCTCCTCCTCCTCCTCCTCTCCCTCCTCCGCTCCCCGAGGCGCTCGGAGGGACTCTGACGATGCAGACTGTCCTCCGCACCACTCGGCCGACTCGGGCCTCGGGCCGGAGGCTCAGGGGATCCCACCCCCCCGCCGTCCCCACCTCCGACGACCCCAGCCCCCCTCGTCCCCCCGGCCCCCGCCCCCCCCCCGCCCCCCCCGCCCCTCGAGCGTGCCGTGGGAAGTCAGAGCCGCCGCCTCGCCGCTGCGGCGTCGCCCCTGGCTTTCCAGCGCCGCCGCAGCAGGAGGAAGAGTCGGAGAAGGAGTAGGAGCAGGAGTAGGAGTCAAGCTAGCCAGCTCGAGCGAGTCAAGCATGGCATGCCCAGTCCCACCCGCCCTCCCACAACATAAGAAGCAAAGCTGGCACAACTGGGGGCCGAAGTCACACCGGCCAGCCGGTTTGGTACAGCTGATGCGGCCGCGATGGCGGTTGCCGACGGGAACTGGCGAGCGCGTGTTGAATGCCGCGCACGCATTGCCAGACGAACTGTGTATTGTCTTTTGCAGATTAGAATGGGACGGATTGGATGGGCGGGCGCGGGGTGTGCGCCGCGTCCCATTCCTGCCATGCATTTTGCGACGTGGACGACAGGACGTCCATGCGACGGTGCCAATGACGGCGACGACTCTAAAAAGATTTGAGCATGCGCTCGCGGCGACGCGCGCGCATGTCGCCCGCGTGGTATTTTTTGCACAGGATTCGCGGCCTGGGTGCATGACAGAGCATCGCGAGTGCACCGCGCGATGACGTGAAATCGCTGGATTTGACCGAATGCTTAAGATTCCTATGGTTTATGGTTTTCCTATGATTTCAGCAAGAGAGCCCGGGCAGGAAATTTGTAGAATTTTTGTGAAAAAAACATTGGGTTTTGATGTTTTTATGATGAAATGCTTGCAAACACACGGTGTTCGGTAGGATTCTGTCATGAACGCGCGCGTGTGCTCTTTGTGGTATTTTTGCAATGGATTATCGCCGTGGACGACAGGACGTCCATGTCGAGAGGAAAAAATAAGAAAAATGTTGATGTTGTATTGTTTTTTACAGGTTAGGATGGGACCACCCGGATGCGGCCCCTATCTGCCGGCCTGAGGGGGGAGTAGGAGTATATTCTAATAAGGAATAAGGATAGGAGGAGGAGTAGGAGGAGGAGGAGGAGGAGGAGGAGGAGGAGAAGGAAGAGATGGAGGAGGAGGAGGAGGAGGAGGAGGAGGAGAAGGAGGAGGAGGAGGAGGGGGGAGGAGGAGGACGATTGTCAAAGCTGTCTCTTAGGACACGGGTAAAGTATTGCCAAGCTCGTGCCCTACGAATATGTATTTCTTGCCCCTGTCAATTTGTTGCCTATTGAAATATCAACTACAACATAGCCGATAAGCTTTCGCCCAAAAGGGCTGCCCCACGACTGAGGAGGAGGAGGAGAAGGAGGAGGTGGAGGAGGAGGAAGAGAGGAGAAAGGGTCCCGCGGAAAAGGGGCCCGTACTTGTTTCTCGCCCGCTGCGGCCCTCCCCGGATCCCCAGGGCCGTCCAACCACGACTCTGGACGAGGAGCTGGGCGGGGGGAACAAAGCGCCCCGTGGTGTCCAGGGCCCGGCCGCCTTAGGACCACGGTCCTCGCCATCGCTCGGACGTAAATGCCCAGTGCATTTTTCAGCCTCGTTTTTTTGTTTTTTTCTCGAGAGGTGAACACAAAAAGGCTCCTCGATGGTCCTCGCCGAGAAAAATGCACACGCCCGAGAGATGCCCAGCCGATCCCTCACGCGAAGAGGGGAGCGGAGGGCCTGCATCACGGTCTGCAGCGCGTCCTCCTTTCGGCGGCGAGCGCGAAGGGGAAGCGAGAAGGGGCGGGTCTTCTCAGAAGGCTCGGCAGTCCCCTGGCCGTCTGAGAAGTCTTCTGAGCCCCCCGAAGACGCAGAACACCTCTCAGAAGGCGCGAGGGCTTCTGAGAAGCCCCGCCGTCTTCTGCGAAGGCCTTCTCCCCAGACCCCTGACGTCGTTTTGTTCGGGGGGGGTCTTCTTTTTTGTTCTCCACAACGTCGACCTCCAGATATCTCGACCCGTTCTCCAGGACCGGCTCTTCATCCCGAATCGTTTTTTGACGGCCCCGAGGCCCAGTAAGGGCCCCGAGAGGCCGAACATCGAGAAACACCTCCCGCAGCATTTTTTCACAACGCAAGGGGGTCTGGGTCCTTCTCACTTCCCGCCCCCGCCCGTCGCCGATCCTTGGCGACGGCCATGGCGACCGAGGGCGGCTCCGTGCTCGCGGGCATCACCCAGGTGGCCACGCCTCTCCCGTGCGCGCGGGGGCTCCGCCGGGGCAGGGGTGGCGGGCTGTGCGAAGGGATCGCCGAACTGGAGAGGGCTCGCTGTCCAACGAAGACCTGGACCTCGAAACTCCAGGAGGCCGGGAACACACACACGCACGCACGCACGCACGCACACACAGACACACGCACGCACGCGCACACGCACACGCACA